CTCTTCTGCTCCGTTAAGATCATTCAATATATAGCTTTGATTTATTACAGTTGCAAATATGTATATATATCCCCATAATTTCGACTTATGTTTGAATAACATGACCTGTATTTTATGAACTTACTTTTTCGACTTATGAACCGGGTTAACCGGGATTACACGTGGGTCAGTGATTGTTAGTATGAAGATTGAAGTTGAAGAACATGTAGAGTTAATCTTAACTGCTCACACAATCTCTTGGAGGAGATGTTTCAACTTTCTAGAGGAAATATAGACATGATTGAAACTGTTTCACGGAATTGATTTATCGAACAATAACGCTTTTCGGTTTATCTTGTAACAAACTTCTTGGTGAAATTTCATAGATCCTAGCTTTGAGCTTGAGATATATACCAATCTCTCGTCCAACATGCTCGAAGGCCGTGTTATTGAGTCTCCCGGCATGTTAACGAGCACGACATTACTAGGCCTGTAAACGAGCCGAGCCGAGCTCTGTTTGTTAAATAAACGAGCCAAAAGCCGAGCTCGAGCCTTAACGAGTTGATCTCGAGCTTTAACGAGCTCAACTATAAAAAATTATATAAAAAATTTTGTTTCGAGCCTTATCGTGCCGAGTTATTAAACGTGCTTTAAATGAGCTCGAGCTCAGCTCCTTAAGGCCTCGAGCTCAAGCCTTAACGAGCCTATCCAAGTCAAACTTCGTTCAATTTAACAACACTAGACATTACCAAGCTCACCGTTTAATAAAAATTCAAAAATAGAAGATTACCAATTTCCATCACACCATTTTTTCTTTTACACACAATTAATGTCGAAAACTTGAAACTCTGCATTACACGACAACAATCGGGCTCAAAAAAAAAAATAAAACCCGACGTTCATTTCCCGGGGACAAAGTTGGTGGCATAGGCCCAAGCATTGTTGTTAACCGGGTCAGCAAGATGATCCGCCAAATTTTCCAACGGGCCCTTTCCTGTAACAATGGCCTGCACGAAAAACCCGAACATGGAAAACATGGCAAGCCTCCCGTTCTTGAGCTCCTTCACCTTAAGCTCTGCGAAAGCTTCCGGGTCATCCGCCAGGCCCAACGGGTCGAAGCTCCCACCCGGGTACAACGGGTCGGTTACCTCACCAAGAGGCCCACCTGCAATACGATACCCTTCAACGGCGCCCATCAGAACCACTTGTGTGGCCCATATGGGCAATATACTCTGTGCGTGGATTAAACTCGGGTTGCCCAAATAATCTAACCCGCCCTCGCTGAATATTTGTGACCCGGCCTTGAACCAAACGGCCTCGCCGAATTTGACTCCGTTGCGGGCCAGGAGCTCCGGGAAGACGCACCCGAGGGCGCCGAGCATGGCCCACCTCGAGTGGATGACCTCGAGCTCGCGGTTCTTGGCGAAGGTCTCTGGGTCGGCAGAGAGGCCCGCGGTGTCCCAGCCGTAGTCGCCGGGGAATTCGCCGGTGAGGTAGCTCGGGGGCTCGCCGGAGAATGGGCCGAGGTACTTGACGCGGTCCGGGCCGTACCACGGGCTGCTGGAGGAGGAGGCGGGCTTGGGCTTGGAGGTGGTTTTCCGCATCGTGACTCGTCCGCTTCCGAAGATATCGGAGGCGGTGGAGGGGGAGAGATTCACCTTCTTGCCGGCGAAGGAGGAGGAGAGAGCCATTGTTGTTGAGGTCGCTGCCATCGGTTTGGTTGCTCGAGAGGTGTTCGATGAAATGCGAGTGAGAAAAAAAATGAGTTTTTGAGTTGTTTGATGAGTTGGAAGTGTTGTACCGTGTGGTCATTTATAGGATGTGTTTTTGACGATGATAATGAATATCTCTGCTGTGATTGGTTGGCCTCTGAGGATTTTTTAATTTTTTGTTGTTTTAGGTATTATGACATGGCGAATTCTTGGCCATCTATTCATGAGTTTCTTCACAAAATGGGGCTCCATAATTTGTAAAGGGCCAACCCAATCTAATCTATTGTAGGCTGCATTCACATATCTAGATTAGGCTTTATGATATGCCAATGAGATGTATCGCCTTGTTATCCATTAGGGTTTTCAAATATCCAATTTCATGATTACATCTGTCTGATTCATGGTGTGCGTTCTTACTTCAATTTCCCTTATGACAGATGACGTCTTAGTAAATGTGTATGAGGGAGGGTATCATTCAATCGTAGGGCTGTAAATAAGCCGAACCAAGCTCGAGCTCGAGCCCTTAACGGGCTGGAACTTGTCTCGTTTATCAACATTTACGAGTCAAATTATAAAAAATTATATAATTTTTTTTTTTTCGAGTTGTATCGAGGGAGCCGAGTTTGACTCGTTAACAAACGATCTTATGTGAGCCCAACCTCGTCTCATTGATACTCGAGTCTTAACGAGTCGAGCCGAGCTCACGAGCGATTCGTTTCGTTTAACATCTCTATGCAATAGCCCCGACCAAAAGGTTTATTTAGATGTTGGTAATAAGTAATGTGACGTGACAATCATTGTTATGTGTATGCATGGAAGAAGCTAGGGGTATAAACGAGTCGAGCCGAGCTCAAGCTCGTGCTACTCGTTCGATCCCTTACACGAGTTTGAGTTTATCGAGTTTAATGAGCCTCGAGCCGTGCCGAGCTCGACTTGTTAATCGAATGAGCTTTAAATGAAATCTAGCTCGGTTCGTTAAAGGCAACGATTTCATAATTACTAACTGCAAACCTACAAGCCGTCTACCAAGGTTCAAATCTATAATGATGGCACAGTAAGAAGACATCATGTGTAAAAATGGTTGGATAAAAATGGAGGATACTATAAATTGAAAGCTTTCTAGGAGAAGGAAATTTGGACGAAGAGCAACTAAAAAGTTCCATCTTTATTATTTTCCAACCACTATCAAACGTATTATTCCACAAGAAATCATAAAATCACTTACATCTAAAACAACCAATTGAAGAGTAAAAATTACTCGTTAAAGACTCGAACTCGAGCTCAGCTCGGCTCGTTTACAGGCCTAATGGACGTCAATTGAAAGGAGCTAATGCACCATGTCGGAAGTGGGAGAAGATTGAACGAAAAACTCGCCGACCACCTCGATGCCGGTCAACTTTGCAACAAACAATTGAGAGGAGGCAACGACAACTTAACCAAAAGAATCGAGTGTTTCTGATTTGGGAGAAAAGTGGAGAGAGAAAAAAATTCAAAGTAACTATCAATACTAACTAATCATAAATTTTCACACCTTTAGGTTATGTTTGATAATCTAATCATAAATTTTCACACCTTTAGGTTATGTTTGGTAATCAAATAAGCTAGCTTATAACTTATTTGATTAGCTTATAAGTTTCCTGCATTCAATAAGCTTCGTTTGGTCGGACGAACTTTTTTAAAAAGTTATAACTTATCCCATAAGCTTCCTTGGGTGAATTTTCAAATAAACTCGTTGAAATTTTTATTTAAACTACTTTATCACCTAGTTTTGCCAAACACTTATATCATATAAGCTAATTTTTTAGATATAAGTCATAAATTATAATACCGAAAATCACTGACGGAGCAAAATGAGGCCCAGGGGGGGGGGCTATGGACCCCCTCATTTTTTTTTAATATATATATATATATATATAAAGAAAATACTATAAAATATGTATAAAAATACAAAAAAAATATTTATAACATATTAATAATTAAGATTTATTTTCTTTGTTAATTTACTTTAAATTAATAATATTATTTATTTGTTGAAAAATGTACTAACAATCTTTATATTTTACATTTCTAGATAAGTTTTTGAAAATATTTATAATGATTTACTCTTTTAGTTTTTTAATTGTAAATCAATTTAGTAATATAAAATCGAGTATTTAGTTGGATTGTTACATTTTCTAATGTTGATCTCTTACTTTTTTTTTGTGTAATCACATATTTTTAACTTTATTTATTTTTTTCTTAAAAATTGTTCAATTGGTACGCTCTCTTCAATAAAAATATATGGAATGTGCTGTAAAAGTTCAATTTAAATAAATTTTTCAACCAAAAAACTTATTTTTCCACAACTTATAGATATTGAAGTTAAATTATAAATACCTAAAATCTAATTTTTATTAAAAAAAAAAAATTTGAGGGTGATAGGATTCTAAGTTTTTAAAAAGTTGACGGTACACATATCGATATCAATATTTATAGTAAATACATTTATATGAAATGAGCTTTTTAACTTAAACTACAAGATCGTTATTTAACATTTAAAATCGGACCTCCCTGCGTAAAATTATTGGATCCGTCACTACCAAAAATCGCTTATAAACTATAAACTAATTTATCAAATAGGTTTACCAAACATAGTTAGTATATCATCAAGCACAACAAAATTTGAGATTTTGAGAAATTTTCTTGTGTATAAAATTTTTTACAATAACTAAATCCATATAATATAGGTAATCATAATCTGATCATTATCTTCTATGCTGCAGAATATTTACCGAACAAACATTTTCATCTATGCAGATATTTTGGAACCCTTTGAAGTGATCCTTACATCAATTATCTTGTGGCCACACATTGAATGCCAGCCATTCAATCAACATGTTAGTGTGTCACAAAATATATTACATGTTTTGTTATTTATGCAGTCGTTAGTAATATCGTTTCATTTCATGAAGAGATTACACTATCCATCTGAAGACGTGGCAAGCCCTCATTGGCCACAACAAAACTCTTCAGATCTGTTTCAACATTTGCAAATTAATTTCGTGGAGATGGCTTTGCCAAATGTACATTCATGATTCAACTCACCACCCAATCAAAATATCACCAGCCAATCAAAACCCAGATACTGATCTCCATTAGATAAGAACTCCAATCCCACAATTCTATATAAATACCATAATACCCTCACAATATCAACTCATCACCTCTAAAACACATTTCTTTCTCTTCTCACACGCATTTCATCAAACACCTCTCGAGAACCACCAATGGCGGCCTCAACGATGGCCCTCTCCTCCTCATTCGCCGGCAAGAAGGTGAATCTCTCCCCCTCCGCCGCCTCCGAGATCTTCGGAAGCGGACGATTCACGATGCGGAAAACCACCTCCAAGCCCAAGCCCGCCTCCTCCTCCGGCAGCCCGTGGTACGGCCCGGACCGCGTCAAGTACCTCGGCCCATTCTCCGGCGAGCCCCCGAGCTACCTCACCGGCGAATTCCCCGGCGACTACGGCTGGGACACCGCGGGCCTCTCTGCCGACCCAGAGACCTTCGCCAAGAACCGCGAGCTCGAGGTCATCCACTCGAGGTGGGCCATGCTCGGCGCCCTCGGGTGCGTCTTCCCGGAGCTCCTGGCCCGCAACGGAGTCAAATTCGGCGAGGCCGTTTGGTTCAAGGCCGGGTCACAAATATTCAGCGAGGGCGGGTTAGATTATTTGGGCAACCCGAGTTTGATCCACGCACAGAGCATATTGGCCATATGGGCCACACAAGTGGTTTTAATGGGCGCGGTTGAAGGGTACCGTATTGCTGGTGGGCCTCTTGGTGAGGTAACCGACCCGTTGTACCCGGGTGGGAGCTTCGACCCGTTGGGTCTGGCGGATGACCCGGAAGCTTTCGCGGAGCTTAAGGTGAAGGAGCTCAAGAACGGGAGGCTTGCCATGTTTTCCATGTTCGGGTTTTTCGTGCAGGCCATTGTTACGGGGAAGGGCCCGTTGGAGAATTTGGCGGACCATCTTGCCGACCCGGTTAACAACAATGCTTGGGCCTATGCCACCAACTTTGTCCCCGGGAAATGAGTGATTTGTAGTTTTTTATTTTTTGTTGTGGTGAAATTAAACTACCATTGTGAATTATTGGTATGCTATGATATTTCGTAATTTGAAGTGAATGCTTATGGCTTTTTTGTTGTCTTGGGTGTTTTTTTTTTAGTTGTGTTAGTGATGTAATCAAATTGAATGAGGTGGGTTTGAAGCTCGTGTTTGAATATGGTCGAATACTGCTTGTGTTTGTTCGAGCAAAAGTTTGTGTGTGAGTTCGTACATCAACAATGGAGCCTAATTTTTGTCCGACCTCGGTTCAAATGAAAGAGATTTTTTTCCGAGCTCGAACGAGCGTTTGTCTGCGAAATGTTCGGTTAGTTTACTACAACTCAATTTGTGTGCTCAATTATTCTATCAATCCAATTGTCTAATTTGAAATATGCACATTCCTACATAAATCTTTGTCTTGGGATGATATAGGATAACATAGGGGAGTTTCAACTTTTCAATTTAGTATTTGGAAGCAATAATATTTAATTATCTTCTTCTTGCTACATTTGTATAACAATAATCATGGAGTTCCTTACTTTGGATTACTATTTGAGTCACCATGATGAGAAAGACATGAATGAAAAAACTAGAACCGAGCCAACCCTAAGAAAAACACCAAACCAGACTGTTGATTGTTCGTAAGACTCGAAAGTCGAAATGNAAAAAAAAAAAAAAAAAAATACACGCACACACGATCATGAGTATAAAAGTGCCCGAGACTCAATCACATGTTCTTCCAATCCACGAGATAATTCTGATAAACGTACGAGACGAAACCCCACACCGCCAAGAAAATGGCAATCACCTTAATCCCATCCATCCTCTCGTGGAAAAACACGACCGCAAGAATTGGGACTACCGGCAAACCCACAGTACTAATCACATTCGAGAACAAAGACGACACCTCGAAAATCAAGCCCATGGTCCCTATATAATACACTTGCCACCCGATAGCAACCGACAAAACAATCACCACATACACTAATTCCCCCATCTCGAAACTTTCCATCTCCTCTCTCAAACCCAACCACTCTCCACTCGCGAAAAGCGCGGCTATTAGCATGAAACTCCCGAACATCGATTGATACATCACCATATTCAACACGATCGAAAAAGCTTCCACCTTTTTTATCACCTTATCGAATACCAACTGAGTTAGCGAAAACGTTAGCGAGTACAGAGACGAGGCGGCGAGCGTGCAACAAAAACCCACCGCAAAACGTTCCTTTCTCGGGTTTCGATCCTCCTTATTTTCCCTGCCGAAAACGAGGAGCGATGATGAGACCGAGACGAGCACCAACGAGTTGAGTATCAAAAAAGTGAACTTTTTGGCGTTTAGAAAGTACGAAAACAGGGCACTGAATCCTAGTTGGGTCGTCGTGATTAGGGAAAAAGTCGAGACGGGTAGATTTTGAAGCCCAATTGTGCATAAAACTCCACCCGCGGCTTGCGAAAACCCGAGAGAGGCGTAAATGGCCCAAATTATTAGGAAAGAATTCAGGGGAGGCTTATCCGGAACTTGGGTTCGTGCGGACGAGCGAAAGGCAAATGGGATGAGAATCGGAAAACCGATGGATTCGAGAAGGGCTTGGAGCAAGATCGTTTTCCCGCCTTTTTTGTAGTAGAGTCGGCCTAAAAGGGTGGCGCTCGTTTCGCCAAGGAGGACGAATGACGAGTAGACGAACATACGGGCCCACCATTTCTTGGTCTTGGCTTGGTTAGGAAGTGTTACTCTGTCTTGGGATTCTGTGAATAAGTAGGAGAAAGTGTTATTGTGTTGAAAATACAAAAAATATTGCTTGGGATGAAAAAAGATGGGATTTTTTTTTAAAAGAATGATATGAAATGGAAATGCAAAGATGAAGAAGAAGTTGATTGATAGATAGATTGATGATCTTTATTTTTTCTGATATTATGAAATTGATATTGTTGCGTTTTTCCCCTTGAAATGAAAGTTTGAGAGTAAAACTACTGTGTTTTTACAAATCTCTGACTCGGTCGGTCTTATGTTAGACTGGTCTAAGTCTAACCATTAGGCTGACGTACTAATTTCACAAATATGCACGTACATTTATATGAAAATGTCGTAATTTAAAAAGAACATAAATAAAAGTGTGAAATTTGACAAAATAAGCATGCATTTTGGTTTATATAGTATGATAGGTTGAATCGCCTGGCGGTTAGGCCGCCTCAAACAAGAATTTGTATTAGTTAAGGCATGAGATAATTCAAAACTAAACAATTTTATAGAACGTGTTGATTAATAATTACCTAACTCTCGCTCTCTGATTTCTTCCATGCTTGATTAAAATCTGGGATCTTAGTGCAACTTGAAAAAAGAAGAAGAAAGAATTAAAAAGATTTTTGCGTGGATTTTCAAGTGACAAACATTTTCACTAACTGAATAATATAGCCAATGGACTTTGCATTATATAAGCAAAAAAGAGTAGTACTACTGAGTGATGAGAGTTGGTGGCACGCAACTCCAATAAGCTTTGGGTGGTTGTACTTTTCTTGTTTTCTGATAGGTATTGGGTGGTTGTACTTTATAGTCTTTATTAGAGCCTTTCGCGGCAGCTTTTTAGACGTTCACAGTTTGAGCAAAGAACTATTAATAAGTGAGGCCTCGTCATCTTTATGTGCGAAAATAAACAGAAGAAGTAGTGTTTCTTTAACCTATGGCATTTTATATTCTTTATTGGTAAAATTGTTTCTTTAACCTATGGCATTTTATTCTCTTTATTGGTAAAATTGCACGTAATATCATTATAATTTATGAATTTGCATTTTGTTCCCAGTCATAATATGAGGTTTGGCAAATTATGTTGTCACATCATTTTCTTTGAAAAACGGTACATGAAATTAAATAATGGACCATCAGAATATGACGTGTCCAAAAATAAATAGAAGAAGCATATTGGTTCGTAAACTAAGGCATTTTCTGTTCTTTATTGGCAAAGTAGTTTGCAATAATGCAATTTTAGTCTCGACCTTATGACTTTAAGAAGTTATATATCGCCACCTCATATTTTTACTACAAAAAAATTGTTAAATTTCAACAAAAAATAATACGTTAATATATTTTAATAGAAATTTCAACAGATATTTCAATGGTATAATTTCCGTTGCAGCAAAAATATTATGTTGGAATTAGTTTTCCATTAAAAATTTAGATGGAACTTGATGATTTCAATGGTTATTTTTCCAACGTTATTTTATGGTTGAAATTTTTATTTTCATCCCTGTTGGAAAATCTACTATTGGAATTGTCAAAATTCACCGAAAATCCTAATGGAAAATCCATTCAAACGGAATATTTTTGTTGGAATTTCTGTTGGAATATAATGAAAAATTCCACCGGAAATATTAGCATTTGAATATCTATTGGAATATATTTCCATTAGAATTTTTTATTGAAATTTCATAATTTTCTTGTAGTATTTTTTTTTCCTTTCAAAACTGAAATACTAAACACCGCACCCAAATTACTGTTACCGCACCCTAAAAATACTATTGTACCCTTACTAATAA